AAAAACATGAAACTAAGAAATAAATATTAAAAGACAGTGTTAACATGTTTAAGGAGAAAAATGTGAGGATAACTTTATGACCTAAAGTTAAAAGTTTTTTTAAGGCAAGAGCAGAAACCATAAAGGAAAGTTAGCTTGCATTATAGTAAACCTTTAAATTTCTATGCCACAAAAGAATCAAACAACAACAAAAAAAAAGGAGAAATAGATGCACTCCTTTTAGGCAAGTTTGAGTAAAAGGAAAACAGCATGGACTTCTCGATCCAGCAGACTTGGGTACAAATTCTGTCTGTGTGAGCTGGTGCAAAGTAATTAAATCACCACTAAAATCTCAGTTTTGTTGAAAGCAAAATGAAGATACAGGTACCATGCCTTTCAGTATTCCATGAGGATTAGAGAAAATGTATATAAAGCATACATTTAAAGACAGTAGGAATTGCATCAGTGTTTAAAGCATTACTCATAATAAATTATGAGTAATTGTAATTTACAGTACTTTCAAGCAACAAGTGAATTAGGGTTTTATTAAGCTACTTAAAACTAATTGGAACTGTTTAAGGCTACAGACAGATCAAAGAAAAACAAACTTCTGCTTAAAACCTTGAAATAAACTCTATTGACCCTTGTGGAAACATTTTTTGCAAGGAGTAAGTGTTTTAAGCAATCACTTTTGATTGTAAGGTTGATGTTCATTCATGTAACTAAAGCAGAAAAGGTGGAATTAGTGTAAGGATTATTAATGGCTGCAAACTGAAATTGGAATTTTTTACTATTTTCCTCTTAGTTTCTGTTACTTCACAACTTTGGTCGTCATGAACTGTATTGTAAGTGGAATCTTTTCACCTGTTGCTCCCATCATTAACAACCTCCTCCTCTCTCCTCCTCCTCCTCCTCCTCTTCCTCCTCTTCCTCTTCCTCCTCCTCCTCCTTTCTCTCTCTCTCTCTCTCCCTCTCTCTCTCTCTCTCTCTCTCTCGTTAAAAAGTACATATTTTAAAAATCGAAGTGATGCCTGTATCATTACATTTAGTTGAAAATTTTTTCTTCTAAAAAGGGCAGTAAGTTCCCCATTCTGAGATGCAACTAACTTCAAATATTTTACTTGTTGGTGTTTTTTTGCGTATGTGTGGGGTTTTTTGTTTTTGTTTTTTTTGTTTTGTTTTTTGGTGGGGGGGGGGTATTTATCTTTATATTTTTAAATAATAGGCTTATATAATGCTTTTCAAACTTTAAAAAAATAAATTATTTTTTTACTTCTGCCTATTTAAAAATCTATTTTTCTTCTCAGTATACTTTCCATGTTCCATATTTTGGCTATAGTTACATTATTAAATCATTATCCAATGTATGCAGTATTATCATTCTGCAAATATCAACAGTTTAATAATAATTTCATATCCTTTCTTGTTTAGGTTTTATTTTCAAAGAAGATGACTTTCTTATCTTTATATCTGCTTCCTCTGAAATGTACCTTTGGTTAAGTCACCACAAATTCTTCCACAGAAGTGAATAACTTTCTTAATATGTTCAAACAGTCAGATAATTTGTCAGTTTTATTTCTTCCGTGGAAATTATTTTTTCTGGAAACATTCATTATGTTGCTATATTCTGGATTGGTTGCTTTTAGGCTTATTGCTTGGTTATCATCCATTATCTTGGGAATTTCTTTGCTTTTCTCATGTGTTCATTTCCCCATTTCCTAGATTCCATGCTTTCTTCTTTTTGGACTTACTCCATTCTAATGGAGCTCACCTTCTGATAGCTTTCTAAGAAAGGGTGCATGGAAGGTAAAAATGTTTGAGACCATGCATGTCTGAAATTATCTTTATTCTAGCCTCATACTTTATTGATAGTTTTGCTGGGTAAAAAGTTTTGAGTTGAAAACCTTCATCCTTCATAATTTTGAAAATTGATTGTGCTGTTGTGTTGCTATTGAGAAATCTGCTCTTCTTTACTTCTTGCTATTATAGTTTTAAACTTTAATTTTTTAATGTCTAAGTGTGTCCTGTTTCTGCTCTTTTTATTTTTCTAATTCTATATAATAAAAGGTTAATATGCAAATTGACCAAACAACCAAACAATTGGTCGCTATGACACGCACTGACCACCAGGAGGCAGACGGTCAATACAGGAGCTGTCCCATGGTAGTCAATGTGCTCCCACAGGGAAAGCACCACTCAGCCAGAAGCCCTGAGCCGGGTTCATGGCTGGCAAGGCTCCTGCCTCCACAATAGCACTAAGGATGTCTGGCTACCAGGCTTAAGCCCGCTCCCTGGCCGTCAGACATCCCTAGAGGGTTCCCGGAATGCAAGAGGGCAAAGGGCAGGCAGAAGGACACATCCCCACGTACACATATTTTGTGCACTGGGCCTCGTGTGTGTGTGTGTGTATGTGTGTGTGTGTGTGTGTAGTAAAAAATACATAGAGAAGAAGGGAGAGAGATAGAAATACCCACCAGCTGTCCTTTCTCAAATTTTTAGATTATTTGACTGTTCATATTAGAGTAAGGTCATTTATCTAATGTTGTTTGTGGACAATTGGTCTATTTTCCCAAAAAAAGAATTCCGTTTCATTCCTGGATAGCTGACTTTTTGTTTTGGAGGTGGGAATGAGATAATGGGGTGGCAGTGGTGGGAGAGTTCATGTTCGACCTGTAGACTTTCACTTAATCGTCTTTGGTGTGGAGCCAGTACCTTCCTTTAGCATGCCTTGTACTCCAGGGTCCACTGGCTTTCTGGATTAACCTTTACAAATTAAGCCTTCAGTCTTCTACCATTATTAATAAAAATGGAGTTGAAATTCCTCAACAGACAGTCTGATACTTACCCCTTGAATTAGACAAACTTGCCTCACCACTGGCTGGCCACTGGCAGAGCATATCTCCAAATATCAGGGTAAAATCAGCCCCATTGTAGGTGGTCAACTCACAACTATAAACCTACTTTTGCCCCACCCTGTATCTATAATAATAAAAGCATAATATGCTAATTAGACCAGACGTCCTTTGAGGACCTTCTGGACAAAGCAAGGGCTGCCAGGGAAGCCCAGGGCTGCGAGGGAAGCCCATGTGCCTGAAGGAAGCCAGTGCCAACAGCCGTGGGAAGGAAGGCCCATTCTTGAATGAATTTTGTGCATTGGGCCTCTGGTATCCAAATAAAAGGCAATCTAAAGGACTTTGAAAGGTCCTTTTAACTTGAAGTAATCTCTCTCTCTCTCTCTCTCTCTCTCTCTCTCTCTCTCTCTCTCTCTCTCTCTCTCTTTTTTTTTTTTTTTGTGGTCTTCTGGCTGCTGGGCCACCAATAGAGAAGCGGTCTGAAGGCAATGTGCTCTGACCCCTGTATAGAACCCCAGGGCAGGCCCACCCCAGCAGCTCATGTCTAACTTCCTACCTAACAATTCCACTTCTAGAGGAGAACTATTACCAGTAATCCTTTAAAAATATTCTGTGCAACCCTGGCCAGTTTGGCTCAGTTGATTGGAGTGTTTGTTCCTTACACCTAACAGTTGTGGGTTCAATTCACAGGTCAGGGCACATACCTATATTGCAGGTTTTATCCCTGGTCAGGGCCCATATGATATTCTTTCTCACATCAATGTTTCTCTCTCCCTTCCCCTCTTGTTAAAATAAACATATCCTTGGGTGGGGATTCAAAATAATAAAAATAACAAACTATTCTCTGTATTTATAAAATTATACATACTCATATACTCCTTCCTTCTTTAAAAACATAGCTTAGTACACTATACAATATTCTGTACTTTAGGCACCCCTCCCCTCCCAGTATTTTTATTGAGTTTTAGAGAGAAAGAAAATCATCGATGTGAGCAGACATTGATCCCCACACCGGGATTGAGTCCAAAACCTGGGCATGTGCCTTGACTGGAAATCAAGCCAGCAAGCTTTCCGTGTAAGGGATAATGCCCGGTGAATGGATTACAACAATGTTCATAAAGATTGGTTTCATTGCATATAAATACACATACGTCATTGTCATTTAATCTCAGAGCATCTGTTTATGTACAAACCATTATTTTTTTCTCTAGTCCATTGCTTGTTTTATATTTTTTACTTCTCATAGTGTCACATCTAAAACTCTTATTTCTATGTCTTTGTCTCTGTAAGTTTATCAGATAAATTCCTACAATAGAAATTAAATATAAATATCAGTTTATAATTTCCTTTTTCACAGTGCTCGAGAAGGCCTCCTTCTCCCCTTCTTTCCAAAGTAGTTTATCATCAAGATTTAGATCTTAGTCTAATAAGTAAAATATACTATTGTTACTGTATTTGCACTAATTTAGTCAGGTTTATGATTTCTGAGCTTGTTCCTTCCCATACAAGATTTTCCTCTTACATTTTCTTATAATATTTTATGTGTTTTATTTTTTACTATTAAATTTGATAAATATATAATTTGGTATGATGGCAGGAATCAAACTTAATTTTTTAAATATATTTTTATTGATTTCAGAGGAAGGGAAAGAGAGAGAGAAGCATCAATGATGAGAGAGAATCATCGATGCTGCCTCCTGCATGCCCTTCACTGTGGGTCAAGTCCACTGACCAGGAATTGAAGTATGACCTCCTGGTTCAGTGGACACTCAACCATTGAGCAACACTGCCCTGGACAAACTTAATTTTTTAAAGATAATTAGTCTATCGTGCCAGCTCCTCCCCTTTTAAATAATCGGTTTTGTCCTTAATGATTTTAAATGCCATTTTCATTATATTTTGTACTTGAGTTTATTTCTGGATTCTTAATTTTGTTTCACAGATTCTCATTGTGCTACTACATTAACATGTCAATAAAGATGTATATTTTTGTTGCTTTAGTAAACTTTTAAACGTATATATTTTCATTCTTCCCTTTGTCTTTGAAGCCAGTTTATAGATGTCTGCTCATGAGCTCATCTTTGGTCAATGCTTTATAGTTTAAGAGTATTCTGTGGTCATATGTAAACAATTTTTCCTGATTTGAACACTTTTTCTTTTCTTTTCTAGCCTTTAATCTAGACAACGAGCAACCAGATTATGATATGGATTCAGAAGATGAGACCTTATTAAATAGACTCAACAGAAAGATGGAAATTAAGCCTTTGCAATTTGAAATTATGATTGACAGACTTGAAAAAGCCAGTTCTAATCAGGTACTGTACATTGTAAAAATGTCTTTTGACTTATAATTAATCCAATTAGTAGCTTTATTTTACATTTTCTTTAGACTTAAAATTATATTGCGTTTTACTGTCTTTTGAATTTCTCTTCCTCACATCCTAGAATTTCATTTATAATATTTCTTAAACTGAATACGTAAGCATAATTTCTTTCTTTGGGAGTATAAAGAGTACTGTTCTGACATTTTTATTGTTTGGATATAAAATAGTACTAGTTACAATATTATAATGTCTTTTTGATCCTTTTCATAGGGCTATCTTTTTAGTGCCTCAGTAACTAAATTGGCTTGTTTGGGTCTCTAAGGCAAGCATCTCATACCAAATCTTGCTCAGTTGCTCAGATTTCTATTAAGGTACTCCTATTTTAAATTATTTTAGAGTTATTTATGTATTAGAATTTTAAGTGAAGGAAAAATTATTCATAAAGTAGTAAATTTTCCTTAGTGAGACAGTCTTTATTTGGTATACAGAATTTACATTGGTATGGTCTTTCTGAAAAGTAATTAGGTAGCATATGTCAAGTATAAAATGTTTATACCTTTTGATTTAGGAATCATACCTCTAGGAGTTATTCTCAAGAATAATTAGTGAAAATATCAAAGATTTTTAAATAGTGATGCTCAGAGTAACTTACAGACTGTCTTTATTGTGGAATAGCATACAGTCATTCAAAATTATTAGTTCATTAGAGGCCCAGTGCATGAAAATTCATGCATTGGAGCAGGGGGTCCCTCAGCTGGGCCTGCCCCTTCTCACAGTCCAGGAACACTCAGGGAAGGGAGGCAACCCGGCAATCAGGGAAAGGCGACCCCCCATCACACCTCTGCTGCTGCCATGGCCAGCAGCACAAGCCTCGGCCGGCCCTGGTTATCTGAGCCTCAGGCAGCCCTGGGTGGCTGGGCAGCCACCATCCGAGGCTTGCCAGCACCTCAGGCCAGCTGGGGGACTGAGGGGACTGGGGGACTCCAGAGGCAGGTGTGTGGAGTGGCCAGGGCTGCCTGGGGTTGGGCCAGGCCTTGCCACATGCCTGCCACCCTGGTGGGGCTGAGGGGACTGGGTGTTGCCATTTTGTGGCTGTGGTCACTGCCATCTTTGAGGGCAGGGCAGTCAGCATATTCCCTCCTATTGGCTGTCATCTTTGTGATGGCATAAGGATCAATTAACATAGTCCCTCTTTATTAAATAGGATTTTAAAATTAGCCATTTCAAAACCATGATACCAAATTGTTTAAATGGAAATGAGTTTTATTTAAAGCTTTAAATTTATACTTGTGCATAGAATAAAGAACAAGAAAGTCTAACAAAATGGCAGCAATAATTTCATTTAAGTTATAGAATTATTGGTGTGTTTTTTTTTTTCATTCTGTTTTCCAATTTTACTATAAACATGTGTTGCTATTGTAATTAGATTTTTTAAAAACTAACTTTTAAAACAAACGTTGGTATACTTGTGTGATATATTAATATAAACTTTTATATTGTAAAGTGACTTTGCTCGTATTTAGCCTTTCTACCAACCTCCTCCCAGGTCCAACTGCCCTCCCTTGCCAGCCCTGGTCACCCCCATTTGCCCTCCACAGCAGGCTTGGTCCCCCCCAATTGCCCTTCGCTGCTGTCCAGGTCACCCCTAACTGCCCTCCCTTGCTAGCCTGGTCGCCCCTAACTGCCCTCTGCTGCCAGCCTGGTTGCCCCCAACTGCTATCCCCTATAGGCCTGGTCCCCCCCAACTGCCCTCACCTTCAGGCCTGATGTCCCTCAACTGCCCTCCCCTGCTGACCAGGTCACCCCTAACTGCCCTCCCCTACCGACCTAGTCACCCCTAAATGCTCCCCCCTGCAGGCCTGGTTCCCTCCAACTGCCCTCTGCTGCTGGCCCAGTCACCCCTAACTACTCCCCCCTTGCCAGCCTGGTTGCCCCTAACTGCCCTCCCCTGCCAATCTGGTCGCCCCTAACTGCCCTCCCCTGCAGGCCTGGTCCTCCCCAAGTGCCCTCCCCTGCAGGCCTGCCCTACCCCTCCCCCCTCAGTTGCCCTCCCTTGAAGGCCTGGTTCCCTCCCAATTGTCCTCCCCTGATTGCCCACAACTACCCTCCCCTACTTGCCATCTTGTGGTGGCCATTTTTTGTCCACATGGGGGGGTATCTTTGACCATATGGGATGGCCATCTTGTGTGTTGAAGTGACAGTCAATTTGCATATTACTCTTTTATTAGATAGGGTGTTTGTTTTGTGGTTGTTTTTTTTTTGTTTGTTTGTTTGTTTTTTTAACAATCTTAGGCTCAGTCTTTTGTTATTTTTACTGTTTTCCATGGTTGCTCAGAAATTACAGTGGCCAAAATTATATTAGAAATCTTCACCTCTTTGTTCTTTAGTATGCTTTTTCCCATTCAGTCAGTAATATTTATAAAGTGCTCAGCTGAACAGGAGAGGTGACACAAGTTCTCAAGTTGTGGAGCTTATTTTCTAAGTAGGGACCAGATAAACAAAAAGCACGTAAATAATACAATTAGCTATACACATACATCATCATTATCTTATTTTAGTTCTCTTTGCTCAGTGACAAGCTTGCGTGGGGTGACTAGGCCAGCAAGGGAGTTAGTGAGGAATGACCAAACGACTGAACAGCAGTGGGGCAACCAGGCCATTGTGTATTGAATTCTTATGACCTGAAATACAAAGAGGGTACTTAACCAGGCAGAAGGAAATTTCTAGCAGGAGCAGAAAGCATCAGAGAAGGAAATCCGTGGCAGTGTTTTAATTCCCGAATGCCTCTTGCAAAAGGATAGTGTTATTTTGATAGTACTATTATATAAAACACTCACTACTGCTCTGCTGTTTGATGGAAAGAATTCAATCCTTCTCCCTAGCCTAAGATTAGATTAAATTTTTTATTTACTGAGTGAATGTTGTAAAATTTTATCAGAAGCAGAATGACCAAACAGCTCAAGCACATGTAGCATAACCACAGCATTGTTTCCCTTGTTCCCCGGAGCACATGAGAGCTGCTAATGATGCTGTGATGCTGTCAGCATGAGGGGGAATTTCATCACATCCATAATGCTTGATTCTTATTCTGCCACTGTCCTTGTAGACTTTGGGGGCACATATCACCATTTCAGAGAATTTCACCCATAGTTAAAAAAAAAAAAAGTGTCCATTTAAAGTTGATGTTTGGAAATATTGATTCTTTTCATTTGGTCTCATGTTCCAGCCTCTAGCCCTTCACTTGAAAGACAAAATTGCTCAACTTCTCAGATGCATTTAAGCTAATTCTGCTGAGACCTTGAATAAACCAAAGAATGGCCACTTAAAATTTTAACGCAGTTGTTACGTGGACTAGAATACTTGAGTTCACATTGTCAGTGTATTTTCTTTCTGTGGTCAAACTATCTTGGCAGCCAAATTATATAAGAAACCACAACGAATGAGCCCTAGTAATCACTGTCATAGGATTAGAAGTCCAAGTGATCATTACATTATTCTATAAAGTTATACCCATACTAGAGGCCCAGTTTACAAAATTTGTGCACTGCAGGGGAAGGAAGCATCCCTCAGCCTGGCCTGCACCCTTCTCTAATCAGGGACCCTTGAGAAATGTCCAGAACCACTGGCTCCTAATTACTCTCCTGCCTGCCTGCCTGATCGCCCCCTAACTGCCCCCGCTGCTGCCTGATATCCTCCAACTGCCCCCCTGCCAGTTTGATTGCCCCCCAAGTGTCCAGAAGGAAGTCAGATGTCTGGAAGATATATGGTCACCTGGTCTAATTAGCATATTACCCTTTTATTAGTATATAATAGATAAGTCAGATCATATTAGATTTTTATTTGATGCATCATGCCTTCCTCAGATGACTTCATAAAAACAACAGATCAATTCATATTTGGATCTTATAATTTGAGTGAGAAGATTTTGCCCTTCATTTCATAAAGAGCAAGGAAACATATGACCAAGCAAATTTTTACAAACATTAGTTTGAGATTTGTTTGCATTATTTTGGCTGCATGATAAAGGAGTATATCCCTGAGATACTAATGTCAGAGTTACTACAGAAACCATCATAGGACACTGTCACATAACAGAAGGAGTATCAAGAACAGAAATTATCTAGAATATAACCAGCTTGGATAGAGGAATTGCTTTTATCTGTACTTGGTACAAGAAATTTAAAATTACAGGGTGTTGAAACTTCTGGAAATGTGCTAAAAATTTTCCTTTTATAATTTTGAAACAGGCATTATATATTTAGTTACAATATATTAGGACATATAAGATTGGGCAAAAGTAGGTTTACAGTTGTGAATACATGAGTTTACTTCTTGTATTATTATTTATTGCATTATTTTCCATACAAACAATTGTAAACCTATTTTTGCCACAACCTGTATTTATCTTTTACTTTGGAGAGGGAGAGAAAGAAAGCTTTATCTTGCAGTTTTTGTTGATAAATACACAGAAAAAAAAGTTAAACTATTGAAAATTAGTGGATACTCAAGTGTGTAGAATCATAGAATATTAGAATTTTGAAGGACCAAAGTTGTCTTCTAGTTCAAGACTTACCTGAGGCATAAATCTATTGTCTTCCCAACTATCACTCATCCAAGCTTCTTAAATATTTTAAGTGGTGGTACTCCCTACCTATCAGGGCAAAATATAAATTTTCACTTAAATCTCCTATTAATAAATCCTTTGATTGAATTGAATTGTGTTATCTGACATCATGATATCTTATCACATTTTTACCAGATGTATAATTTTAACTTTTTTTTATTTCTCTTTTTCAAGCATTGTAGTTGATAATATGTAATTTTTTAAATTTAGCTTGTAACACTTCAAGAAGCAAAACTGCTGCTAAACGAAGATGATTACCTTATTAAAGCAGTATATGACTACTGGGTGAGAAAACGTAAAAACTGCAGGGGGCCATCCCTCATCCCCCAGATAAAACAAGAGAAAAGAGATGGCTCTACTAACAATGACCCTTATGTTGCCTTTCGGAGGAGAACAGAGAAAATGCAAACTCGAAAGGTAATGTTTAAATTTGAATTAAGTGAATGTACCTTAATATAATAGTATTTAAGACAAGTATTTTTTTCTGCTAACAATTTGAATAATTTTCAATACTTTGAAAATAAAGAGACAATATGATATTGTTGAACTTTGCTAGAAATCCCGCTTTTCAGTAAATTTTATTGATAACTGTATACAGTTTTTATCTAATCCCATGCCCCTTATAAATCTATTGATCATACCAGTTTAGACTTGCAGGTGAAATGATATAAGGAATTATATGTCTTTATGTACTTTGGACATTTTTTATCTCTTTAGTAAACTATGACAATCTGTACATATTCTTTATTTGGGAAGCCCAAGAACTCACAGTTCCTTTGAATCCATATTCTAATCCTTGCAAGTAAATATGGCCTTTACTGTCTCTAGCTACGATACGATCGTGGGAAGTAGGGAAAGGTTCATTTTCAAGCCTGTTATGCCAACAGTCAGAGGTAATACAGTGGAATCTTTTTCTCCTTTTCTGAGTTGTCAGGTGTGTCGGATTTCAGATTGATAAAGGTGTCCCCATTTGGCAAGTTCATAAGCAGTATAAGCCAGATTTTTAAGTAAGAGGTCTCATGCTATGGAATGACATGGTAGAGGGAAGCATTATTCAGATGAGTGTTCATTGCCTTCCTTTTCTCATAACTAACAGTAAGAACCACACATGGTAATACATTGTAAAATATTAAGAACATAAATGTAAAAACCATAAGGAAATATGTAGGCAAAACATTTTCTGTGCATTTCTGTTTCTCCTAACATTGAAAGCTTGTCCTCCTCAGCTGTTAGTGTAACAGCTGGAAGCTTAACAGCTGCCAGGGATAGAACAGAACTTTAGGAGAAACTCGCCTACTGATTAACAAGCAGAGTTACATAACTCTTTCTTGGATTTCCCTGGTATAGATGGCATTCCCTAACCTGAGCTGAGTTTTCAATGGTGTTTTAGTTCTTAACTAAGGAAATCTAAGATATGTTATGAAGATTTAGTGCCCTAGAAAAGATTAGAGTGAGATAAATTTGTAAATATAATAAAATGTATAAATATAGATTATTGGGCATGAAGAAGGAAAGGTTTGTCTGAGTCATTTGAACTGCCAGTGGTTTTTTAAAAGAAATGTAATTAGATATATTACAAAGCATAAATTTTTAGCAATGTCTTAAAGGAAAAGTGTAAAAAGTATTTATTGCATTTTAAACAATATTTAAATGTTTAAATGTGTTTTATTCTTAAATAGGTTAAGTTACTATTTTCTAATCAGTGTTGAGAATTGCTTGTTATGCTTTCTTGTGTTTATGTGCTTCTCCATTATGTAATAACTAGTCCAGCTTTCTCCTGAATCTTAATTCCTACCCTTATTCTTACCTGTAGTGTGGTTTCTTTTCCAGTAGTCTTTTTATTCCTATGTTTTCAATTGTGGGGCAAAAGACTATTCCCCTTCGTGCATGCTGTTGCTGGTAGAAATGTTTATGTTTCAAAATGAGAAAGTTGGGAAAGCAGTTAACAATGAGTACTCACTACCCCCGCCCCAGGTGTTTAAGAGGTGGGCAAGCATTGGGATATGCAAAAATGAATACAGCTAGCAAAGATTCTCTGCTTCCTTCTCTATTGCCACAAAATGCAAAGACAAAAAGTAGGGGACTTTGAAATACTTGCTTGGTAGTCTATAATTTAATTTTAATTCACCAAACTAATATTTAATTTTGGAATATTTAAGTACTTTAGGCCATTTTTAAATGAAATAGTCTTAAGGCACCAGCAAGTCTAAATGTACTGATTGGGAAATCTTGAATCCCAATATACATTTAGTATGTTCAACCCCAGAGAAACAATTGTTAATATGTGTGTCTTCTCTCCTGCCTCTCTGTGGGCCAGAAGAAGCAAGACAAACAGGAGAGGGAAGTCTCATGGTAGTGGTTGTCAGTGTGACTGCACATAACAGTCACCTGTGAATTATCCTTGGTTATAAAAAGATCTACAGTTAATTCTAAAGTGAAGCAATTTGAGAACCAATTACCCAGGGATTTGGCAGTAAGTCAGAACTGGAATAGTAAGAAAGGAATTGGCCTCGAGCAGAGACACTTGTGAGGAAGAGTAAAGGGAATGAGTGGGTTTGAATGTAGGGGGTAGGAGCATCTTAAAAGCATATAGAGAAGGTGTCAGTATAAACTCATGTATTTTAATATATCGGTACAGTTAGAAATATATATAGCTCTGTGCACATGTACGTGCATATATGTATATTACATACATATTTCCTAACTCTTAGCTGAGAGGGTCTAGAAGCAATGACTCAGTAGCAGTGGGCATGCTTCGCATGTAGATTGTGACTTTAAATACTGTTTTTCATAAAAAGAAACCGGGCTTCTTGGAAAAATGAGTGATTCCAGGTCTGGGGCTGAAAAACAATAAGATAAGCTTGTTACATTCTGCTATGCCGGAAAATAAAAATGTGATTAAAATATGTTGGAGCTATGTCAGAAGGAGGACTCCACTGAGCAGAACTAAGAACGTTTGAGTGTCAGAATAAATAAGAATAATGGATAAACAATAGAATATAACTAACCCATGAGTCCATAATGATATAAATGGGTGGATGAATAGATGATTGATATACAGACCTAAAGATAAGACAAAGTTACTCTTTTCCTTATAAGAGAACTGCAGCTTATAAATGTCAACGGAATCATTGAATTTGAAAATCACCATTTGGCAACTACCATAGTAGAAATATTTCAAGCCAGAGTTAGAATCAGTGGATATAAAATTAGTAGGGGGAGATTTGATGAAAAACAACATACAGAGTTCTACCGCATATTTAAAAAGGAAAAGTAGTAATTTTACTAGAGAAACCTGGCAGGTGTCATCGTAATCAAGTGATCAAAGCTAACATCAGCACTAATAGGACAAATAGATATAATTTAACTTGAAATATGGTGAGAGAAGGATATATTACTATAGTGATAGTCCCACTAGAAATATATAACCTGAATTTAATTGTGGGAAAACATCAAAGAAACTCAAATGGAGGAATGTTCTGTAAAAATAAATGGCTGCTACTCTACAAAAATATCAAGGTCACGTCTGACTTGTGTGGCTCCGAGGTTGAGCATCAACCCATGAACCAGGAAGTCACGGTTTGATTTCTGGTCAGGGCATATGCCCGGGTTGTGGGCTCGATCCCCAGTAGAGGATGTACAGGAGGCAGCCGATCAATGATTCTCTTATCATTGATATTTCTCTCCCTCTCCCTGAAATCAATAAAAACATATTTAAATACATATCTATAAAAAGGTCATGATCACTGTAGAAAATCAGATTAGAGAAACATGTCAACTAAATGTAGTTTTATCCTGAATTAGATCCTAGATAGAAAAAAATTATTATATTTTAATGAATTTTAATAATAAAAATTACTGTTGTCCCACTTAATGCCCTTTTTAACAATTATATAAATATATAAAAATTTAACTATTATGTTGCTGTAAAGAACATTAGTAGGATAATTAGTAAATATGAATTAAATCTATAAATTAGATAATAGGAATACATCATGTTAATTTCTTGATTTTTATAATTACTATGATTATATAAGAATATTATTTTTAGAAAATACACTTTAAACTTGTTTAGGAATAAAGGGGTATTTATCTTTTTTTTTCTCAAAAATTCTTTAAAATACTACTGTTAATAAATATATGTTTCTTAGTTCATTTGTAATAAAAATACCAAAGACTGGCTGTGTGGCTTAAACACAAACATATATTTCCCACAGTTCTGGAGGCTCGGAAGTCCAAGGTCTAGGTACCAATAGATTCAGTGTCTGATGAGGGCTTGTTTCCTAGTTCATGGACGGTCATCGTGCTGTGTCCAGAAAGCCTTCTTGGGTTTTCTTTATAAGATCATTAATCCATTCCTAAGGTCCACACTGATAATCTAATCACCACCACCTCCAAATACCATCACATTAGGACACTAGAATTTCAACATAGGAATTCTCAGGGGACACAAACATTCAGCCCATAACAATATGCATATATTTAAACATATAACATATGTGCATGTATGTGTATATATACAGGGTGAAGCAAAACTAGTTGTGAGTACATAAACAGTTTTCTTGTTTATTAATTATTACATTATATCCACACAAACAGCTGTAAGCCTAGTTTTGCCACATCCTATATACATAGAGAAAAAGATAAAGCAAATATGAAATATTAACGTTTGGGGAATCTGGTTAAAGATATATGAGAATTCTTTATGCTGTGTAATTTGTTTTATAAATCTGGGGAAAGAAAGAATTAGGAAAGGTAGTTATTTGGGCCTACAGAGAGCTGGAAGTAAATGAGTAAGGGCAGAAGCACATAGTTCAAAAGGAACCCTTAGTGAAGAAGGAGCAACCTTAAAAGCTTCTCGTGCTCTTTTGGATATTGTTCAGTTGGCTTGTAGCCTTGTATTGTTATTTATGACTAGAGGTCTAGTGCATGAAATTCGTGCATGGGTGTGGTCCCTAGGCCTGGCTGGTGATTAAAGCGTGAGTATCTGGCATGGAAGGGCAGGTCCCAGTTGACCTCTGGGCCCTGGGCAGCACCTAGGCCCCCAGACCCTCACACACCCTCCTCTGCCTGATTCATTGAGCTCCTGCCCACCTCCCTCAGCACCTGGGAGCCGGGCAGCAGCCCTGCCTCTGCTATTCACCATCTGTGGGGTGACCAGCAAGGCAGTTGGGCCCCGCTTGCATCCATCTTGGCTTGGCGCTGCCCACTCACCTGCTCCACCATCCCACCGCTGTCCCGCTCTGGTCATGGCCCATAGGGGCAGGCAGTGCTTCCACTGCCACCGACTGCCAGCGCTTATCATGTTCTGCACCGCCCTCTGGTGGTCAGCACACATAATAGCAAGCAGTCGAACTCTCAGTCAAGGGAACAATTTGCATATTAGGCTTTTATTATATAGGGTTGTAATCTATTTGTCTCTCTTTCTTATAAGACTTAAAGCTTCCTGCGGAGAGGAGACGTGCAGTATCCTGCACAGAGTGGACACTTTAATATTTGCTGTTGATAATGCTAATTATTTTTCAATAGAGGGTATTATTGCTGCCTAACCCCCCTTCCCTCCAAAAAATTGCTTAAAATCATGCATTAGATTTTGCTTTTTGTCATACACATACTACGAAGGGAAAAAAGATTTTCCTCTTGATGAGATAAAGGGATGACTTATTAACATAGTATTTCTTAATGTTTGATATGCAGTACCTTAATGGGACTTAGTTTAGATTATGTTTTGTAGGTGCTGATCAATTTTAAGATACAAGAAACTATGTTTAAAAGAAAAAAAAGAATAAAACTTTGAATCTTTCTCAAGTTTTATTTTCTCTTCTATAATCCTCCAGCATAAAATTTGGCTTTCTTCAGGTTCTTTTTATAATAATAATCATATTGCATTATTAAGTCAAGGATGGAAACTGTAACTTTTGTATACAAGTAGATGCTGCTAATTATAGCTGAGCATTCTCTGGTTATTAAACACAACTGTCGCTCTAAGTTTGTTCAAATTATTTCTACACTTCATAGTTAGAACTTAATACTCTGAAACTCTCTTTTCTGCTCTGCAGTGAGGTGCTATTACAATGAATCATGATAATCTCATTCCTTGAGAAACATTATATTCCACTTTTAGTTTTATATCTGAGTTCCTGAAGTGAAGCTTTGCTTGTCATTGTGCATGTTTACATTGTAGTATATTGAATTTTCCAGTCCCCAGTTACAGAGCTGGATGGATGGAGAGAGACCCATTTTGGCTATTTTTAGGTAATCTTGATTTGACAGAACTGTTCTCTCTGTCATTGAAAAACACCTTGCTACAATTTAAATGGACTGCATTTTCTAATACATTAGCTTTTGTTTCAGGCAGATTTTAAAAATTTGGTTACACTGGAATTATCCCTTCTATGTCATTCCATCTTTTCAACAGCTGGTAACACTTTTTTTATGAATATTAATTGAGATATTTGCTTATACTTACATTTTCAGAGTTAGGTTTTTTTATGTGGTTGTTGTTTAGATGACTTTTTAACTTTTACAGTTAACATTTTTTAATTTTATAGAATGTATTTGTTGGATGAAACTAGAAATGTGGATAACTGGATTAATTGCTTATTCTTTTTAAATTGTCTTTATCTTCAATAGAATCGTAAGAATGATGAAGCCTCTTATGAAAAGATGTTGAAACTAAGACGAGAGTTTAGTAGAGCCATAACAATTTTGGAAATGATTAAGAGAAGAGAAAAAACAAAACGAGAATTATTGCACTTAACCTTAGAAGTTGTGGAAAAAAGGTAACATTGCTACAATTATATACTAGTGGCAATTTTAGTCAAATTATGGACAGTATATAACCAGATGAGAGAAAGAGAGAGAGTAAAGAATTGTGGTTGCTACTTGTTTGTTTTGAAGCAGATTGTTATAATTTGGGGGTGTTTTTGGGTATAGTGTAGATTCTCTAAGTACACCTGATTTTTTGTTCTTGTTATTGCAGAATCATTGAATTGTATTTAGAAAAGAACCTAGAGATTATTTTGTCTAATTCTCTGTATTAAATTTTCTATTAAACAAAATTTCAGAGAAATGAATGTTTTATTTATTGTATTTTCTAATTAAATAGAAATACTTTTTGTTTCAATGCATTTTGAAAATATATTTTCTAATTTATTAGTCATTTTCCTGCATAATTATACTGTCCCTAAATCTAACAGAATTTAATGTATTTCCTGGAGTTATCCTTTCCTATGCTTCAAAATATAAAATATACAAGAAATTGTATATTTTGTCTTCTGTATACCTAAGAAATTTTTTTGTTTTGGGTTGTCGTTGTTTTGTTTGTTTGTTTGTTTTAGTTACTAAATCTCAATTATGAGCTTCTTTATTCATGCGAATTTTGTTTTAAGAATCTTGATTGTTTGCTCTGTTTAATTAGTTGAGGTATCATTGGTTTTTCTTCATTTTTAAAATATGCAACTTTTTTTTATATTTTGTTACCTTTTCAAGATATCATTTGGGAGACTATGGTGGTGAAATCCTTAACGAAGTGAAAATCAATAGATCAGAAAAAGAGTTATATGCCACTCCAGCAAATCTTCATAATGGAAATCATCACAAAGTCCAAGAATGTAAAACTAAGGTGAATATCCTCTGGGGAGAAGCATGAATGATAATATTGATTTCACAGTTATTGGTTTTTGCCGTTGTCTTAATATAGTTTAGTTAAAGAGAGTAATTAACATGTGTTTAGTTCTTACTATTTGCCAACACTTTGCTGGAAATTTTACATACATATGGCTTATTAATTCTTATAACAAGCATTTAAGATAGATTTTACTTCTGTGTGACTTCCAGATCAAATAGCTAATGAGTGGCAGATTCAAGATTTGAATCTAGGATCTTATATCAAAGACGATATGCTTTCTAACGTGCAAGCTGCTTCTGTAGAAAATAAAGTTAAAGTTTAATTATTACCTTTAGCTTTAGCAAATCCTGCATCGTACTCACTGGCAGGCGTCAAAATCTAAACAGGCGTCTAAAACTGACAGAATTAGTCTTTATTATATATTGATTCTTACTTTAAGTCATCTCTTAAGAAAAAACATTCAGCCTATTTAAATTCTACTTTTAGATATGTGGTTGCTTTTCCTAGGTATGTGATTGGCAGAATAAAGCATTCTTTATTGAGACTGTTGAAAGTTATTCTTGTTATCATCATCATCGCAAGAACCAGCAATTATCGTTGCTATCTACACTACATAATTTGAAAATGTCCTCTGACTTCTAGACTACAATTTTTTCCTAGTAATTACACAGTGATTACTTTAGTTTCTTAGGCTAAAGAATTATATTCATTCATTTTTCTCTTGGCACATTGATTAAAGTATTCAATTATATTTATTCCTTATTCACTTGGTATATTGATTAAGTATTCAATAGATAATACAAAAATTAGTAAGACCTTTAATTTTAGGAGCATAGGTTTAAATAAGGAATGGGTATCAACTGAAGCATTGGACAATAGAGCTTTGCTGTGTAGCAAGATTTACAAGTGACTTGGGCTGTTTGTGGAAAATTCATCTTTTAAAAAGCATACACAATCCTCATTTTTCATGGGTTCATTCTTAAAGGTCAAGGAAGAATGTGGAGCAGGAAAACTTCTTTTCTCAACTCATGTTGGTTCAAACACCAAAGATCTTTCTTATTAATCACAGGCATCTAGCCCACTTACCTGATAACCCTTAAATCACATTTGCCTCTATAACCAGCCAAAATGTTATCAATGCAAAAAAAATGACATCTTCTAAGTTATTTTTTAAATCCACTTTACTAGTATATAGATAAATGCTTTTCCTAGGTATGTGATTGGCAGGCATAAAATCTGAAAATCTCAGCCCCAAATAACTGACAGAATTAGTCTTTATTATATATTGATTCTTACTTTAAGTCATCTCTTAAGAAAAAACATTCAGCCTATTTAAATTCTACTTTTAGATATGTGGTTGCATCCATAGTTCTAACTATAACAAAGTTAACTGTATTTACTTTGTCACATCCCCCACCTTAAAATATAGGCACTTTCTAAGAAGTTGGATTTTCTTTTAGTTGGTATAACTGTACCCAGTGTATGAATCAATTTGTTATATCTCACTTAAATAATTTGGCATTTAAGCAACATTTTCATTGTGTGTACCATTTTGACTATAAAGTATAATAGTTTTAACAAAAATCTGAGCTACATGGGGAAATGTATAACTTCCTAAATATTTTTACTGTTTGTACTTTGGTGCTCAGAGCAGTCATTTTCAAACTTTTTAAAGTGATAGGTCCCTTTTATTAAAAAGAGTGCCAGTATATTAAAACAGAAACAGCTGCTCTGTTGAGGAGAGTTGGGAGCTGGAAACCCACCCTGTCGGCCTGCCTTTTTCCCATATCGCCTCTGAAGTACCAACAGAACTCTGTGGAACTTGAGAACAGTTTGGTTATTGTTCAGATGAGGCAGTAATTATACATTATAAAAAGTGACTTTTTTTTTTCCTAGTAATCTATTTCCTCCTCCCCCCCAAAAAAAAATTGAGTTTTTTTAAAGTTGGAAATAAATAGAAATTAGTTAATAAATTCGTAATCTAATTCAAGTTTTTAAAATAAAAATAATTAATTTTCATCATTAGGACAGAGATAAAACTAAAATGTAAATAATTTTTAAATGCTGATTGCAATAGAGCAATTTTTTAAAATCACTAACATCTTAGTTTAAGTATTAATAACAATAAATAAGCAAATTTAAGTACTATAATTTTACGGACAGTAAGAAATTTTTAAATTTATGATTATATAATTTTTGCATAATAAAAGCAGTGAATAAAATCACCTCTGGGGTAAAAAAAAATGTATGTTTTTCAAAGAGCAGTATAGTTTTTCATGATTTCTAAAATGATTTTCATTTCTTCCTTTGGGGGGAAAATCGTCATGTTAACAGCACCCTCATCATTTGTCTTTGAAAGAAGAGGCTTCTGATGTGGTTCGTCAAAAGAAGAAGTACCCAAAGAAGCCTAAAGCAGAGGCTTTGATAACATCTCAGCAGCCCACTCCTGAGACTTTGCCTGTGATCAATAAGAGTGACATTAAGCAATATGACTTTCACAGCTCAGATGAAGATGAATTTCCACAGGTGCTTGTTTTAAAACTATTTTAAAAACATTTCCTTCTAGTCTTTTACATTGCTATATTTTAAAACATAATTGACATCTTAGAGTTTTGATTCTTGCTCTCTTCACCTAATGGTATAGCATAAATATTTTCCACATTATTTTTATAGCCATTGAAATGGTTTTTATTTTTTGTTGTTTTCCATCAGTAGAATAGAATTTATTCTATTATGGAGAACTTTCTCTTTCTCTTTTAAAAGAAATGAGCATCTCTATCTTTTCTCTCTATTTAAAATAGATTATTAGAAATGAAATTACTGAACCAAAGATTATTAATATTTTAAGACATTTAATACATAATTATAAATATTCACCAACAGTAATTCCCTTTTTTACCACCATTATAACTTACAGCTTTTAATGTTAATTTTGCTAATTTGTTTGGCAGTAACGATTTGATTATAAAGATATTTAGAAGAACTGATTCAAGTTTTAAACTTGTAAAGATAATTCTCTTGTTTATACTGCAAGTTTATAGAAAAAATGTTTGCAATTAAAATCTTAATATTACTTTCATAAATGCTATTTTTAAAACAAGACTTTGCTCTTGCTGGTTTTGATCAATGGTTAGAGCATTGATCCTCAGACCAAAGAGTTGCAGGTTCAGTTTCCAGTTAAGAGCGCATACCTTGGTTGCAGGTTCCCCAGCCCCTGTAGCAACCAATATATGTTTCTTGCTCTCCCTCTCTCCCCCACTTCCCTCCTTTTCATATTTCTCTTCTCTCTCCCTTCCACTCTCTAAAGCATTTTAATATTGTTTTATTGATTTCATAGAGGAAGGAAGAGGGAGAGAAAGATTGAAACATCGATGAGAATCATTGATCGGCTGCCTCCGAGCCTGCAACCCAGGCATGTGCCCTTAATGGGAATTGAACCCAGGACCCTTCAGTTAGGCTGAGACTCTATCCACTAAGGCAAACCAGACAGGGCCCCTTCCACTTTCTAGAAATCAATGGGAAAAATATCCTCAGATGAGGATTTTTTAAAATACCTTTATTTTATATAGTAAAAGGTTCAATTTTTAAAAAATTGTTTAGCACCTGGTGTAGCAATATCCTCTTTTTCTTTTTCTTTTTTTCCTTTTTCTTTTCTCTATGGTATGGGCAACCTAAAGAGAATATAATAACAAACAAGCTTTTTCATATTTTAGCATTGTGACTGACTTACTTTAAAAGAAATTAAAAAACAAAACAAATAAAATAAAATAAGAACACCATCACAGATATATTTGGAAGCAAGACTGTTTATAAAACCCTTTATTGTAATTATTTAAGAATCTAGAGTTTATGTAAACTAGAGGCCCAGTGCACGAAATTCATGCACAGTTAGGGTCTCTAGGCCTGGCTGGCGATCAGGGACCATCCATCTTTGGGGCAACTGGCAGGGTGATCAGGGAGCATCTACTGGCACCTGCCTACGCCAGCATGGCACCAACCACTCACTGGGCCCGCTCCCTGCCACTGCTGCCAGTTGCCTCCCTCTGCAGGGCGACTGGTGGGGCAGTCGGGGGGCTGCAGGCTGGGCACAGTTCCTGCATTAAGCGTCTGTACCCTGGTGGTCAGTGTGCATCATAGTGACTGAGGTCATTCCATTGTTCGATCAATTTGCATATTAATCTTTTATTATATAGGATATTTACTTTGGCTGGATTATATGTTTTACTCTTTTGTCACTGATTTAGTTTTTTAATCCCAGATGATAAATTAGCATTATAAGTATTATAAACAATGCACAAAGATGTGTTTAATTTAGAATACTCCTTTTTAAAAATATATATTTTATTGATTTTATACAGAGAGGAAGGAAGAGAGATATAGAGTTAGAAACAGCGATGAGAGTCATCGATCAGCTGCCTCTTGCACACCCCCTACTGGGGATATGCCCGCAACCAAGGTACATGCCCTTGACCGGAATCGAACCTGGGACCTTTCAGTCCCCAAGCCGACGCACTATCCATTGAGCCAAACCAGTTTCGGCTAATTTAGAATACTCTTGAAAAGCACTTAGTGAAATAATATTACTTTTGTCAGAGGATCATCCAATTAGACTTATGCAGGGCTTTGAGTAGCCATGAAACATTAATTAAATGACCTTTTGAAAGATTGAGGGAAATAATGTCCTAACAAATAGTAGATTTCCAGATAGAAAGTGTAGGGAAGGATTGTAGGTAGAGAAAACAGCATACTAGAGAGCACTGTTTGCAATTTGGCATTGCTAGAGCATAAAACACAGAAGAAAAGAGTGAACAAAATGTGCCTGGAGTACTATCCAGATAGCAAATGGCCTCTATCCTATACTATTGGGAAATAATTGAAGAATTTTAAATCAGAATATGACAGATATAGATATATATTGGCCTATACTGATGGTACATATGAGAATCTGTTTTGCTATACAGTCCCTTTAAGAATGATACCATGTGATACTATGACCTTATTGCTAGCATCAGTCTGTCAATCCTGATAATAGGGCACACTCAACATACTACTCATACATTCCTCAAACATTAAGGTATCTTCACTTCTGTTCGAATTCTCATGTTTATTCACATAGTCCGCAGCTCCCGTAATCACATGAAAATTGTATTTTGAAACTTTTAGGTTTCTCTGTGCCCTTGTACAAGGTCTTTTGACAACCCTGTCATTTTTATAATGGTATCCCCATATTACCTACAGTTGGACATCATTAAGCTATTTAGAATGTTGCTCTTGCAAATCAGGATTTAAAAATCAATAAAATAATCATATGCTTTTTCTTTGTCTAATAAACAAGGAAAAAAAGAAGACTTAAGAGAACAAATGTTTTAACCAGACTAATCCACTGGTTCGCAGTAGAGCAGAACTAAAACTCCTGTCTCTTCTTGATCATGCTTCTGGTTTTCCTAAAGTGGCTCTCTCTTCCTATAGCTCAGACTAAATCCTAAAGTCCACTCCTTGGGAAGAAAGGGTATGCTTTATGCAAAGAATTTCTAAGACTGTGATACTTTCTATGTGCGTTTTAGAAGAGGTAGATGATTGGCAAAGGAAACAAAGTATAAAATTCACATTTGGGATTTCCTTTCAAGTTTCAGGTTTGGGGCTTGGTTCTGCAGGAGATGAATCTGCCCTAGCTTTCTATTTCTGTATCCTCCACAGGGCTGGTGGAGGTATATTGTAACCTCAAACAAATGCCTGGCTCCCCTGGATGTCCTTGTTTAGTGGTAATTACCACAGTTTGGAAATAAATGTGGAGAAAACGTTTTCCTTCTCAAAAGAGGAAGAGAGGGATTTGTGAGGTTCAAAAATTTGCAAGTTAATATAGGAGTGATTTACTATTTATGACTAGATTCTAATTTTAGACCATTACAAAGGTTTATCTATTGACTTTTGATAACTCCTAAGTAGAATACCTCAATCCTCGTTTTTCAGGTACCGTCCCCCGTATCAGAACCTGAAGAAGAAAATGATCCTGATGGTCCCTGTGCTTTCAGGAGGCGAGCAGGATGCCAGTATTATGCTGTAAGAACTTTATTTTTTGTCATGTTTTTGTGAACTGGAATTAGCAGGTAACTCTTGTCAAGGTGACTTAGTCTTGATCTAGAAATTGGAAATCCCTTCAGCATTTTTTATTTAATATATCCTGTGCAGGTACCAGTAAAAGATGCTCAAAGGTACTGAGTTCTTTCAAAAGATATCAGAATTCTTCACTTGAAAATTGATGACTCATATTTTAGAAATCTAGTTTCACTTTGGGCTTTCAGTGTAGCTATAGCTCAGCAGTTAACAAAAATTACTCAGTGTTATTGCTATAGTTAGGTAATCCCAGAATATCTAATTGAACCTTTGATGACTGCCAAGTATTTATTAGAATTTATTGTTAGACAAGCCATCTTTGTACCTACATGTCCAGTAAGTATCAAACATAAAGAACCATTTTTAAATTTTATCTAATCATTATATTCATAACTATTTTGCACACTTAGAAATTATTTTATGCTATTAAATCTAGTTTTGGTGTAGCATTATATCAAAGAACAAGCCTCGCTCCCAAATGTTTGGGTTTTCAGATAAAGTATAACTATATAGTTATAAGGATGCCTTTCATATATGGCTTGTGGACATCGTTTGTCATATAGCCTTTTCAGGGTGTGTGTGTTGTTGTTTTTTAAATATATTTTTATTGATTTTGGAAAGGAAGGGATAGGAAGAGAGAGATAGCAACATCAGTGATGAGAGAGAATCATTGATTGGCTGCCTCCTGCACTCCCCACACTGGGCATATGCCCTGACCAGGCATCGGTGACCTCATGGTTCCTGGGTTGACACTCAACTGCTGAGCCACACCTGGCTGGGCAGGGTGTGTGTGTTTAATGAAGAAGAGGTAGGGAGTTCTTTACTAATTATGCTAATGAGAGAAGGAAAGTATTAAAGGGGCAGAAGTGCTAAGACACAGAAAGATAGAATAATAAAGGGGATGGGAAGGTAAAGAAATGGACTATATGTTCTTAAAAGTAAAGAGAAAGTGTCAACTTGACCTATGCATGCTTAAAAAGTGTAATTTTGGGTCCAAAAAAATTTCTTCTGTTTATCTCAATAGAAGCTTATTACTAACTTCACCATCTTTACTTTTTTACATAAATGTTAAAAGCCATCTTATTCTTTAAAGATTTATTTCTTTTTAAAATATACCTTAAATGTGTTTATATTTGTAAATTAAATTCAGTTTGAATTTTTAAATTTCTGAATATCTAAATTTAATTGTTTTCCTAATGTTGTAATTACTTTATTTTTATCATGATTTAGCTTTTTATCATTTCAGATTTACTCCATGAGTTTTCATTTGTTTTTCCTTTCTTTGCAGCCTCGTTTGGACCAAGTTAACCATTCATTTGAAAATTCAGAATTGGCAGATCTGGATAAGTTGAGATATAGGCATTGCCTTACAACACTCACAGTCCCAAGAAGATGTATAGGATTTGCAAGGAGGCGAATTGGCAGAGGTGGAAGGTAAACTATTTGTTTTGACATGGATTTTGTTTACAAGATATAAGAAAACTTATAGGAAAATGTTAAGTTCTTCCATATAATATTGGTTTTATATTGTTTTTCAGGGTCATAATGGACCGAATATACACGGAATATGACCCAGTCCTGAAACAGATAGATCCTGAAATGCTGAATGGTTTTTCAAGCTCTTCCCAAACTATAGACTTTTCTTCTAATTTCTCTCGGACCAATGCTTCCAGTAAACATTGTGAAAATAGACTGTCCCTTTCTGAAATATTAAGCAATATCAGATCATGTCGACTACAGTGTTTCCAGCCAAGGCTACTAAATGTACAGGACAGTGATAGTGAAGAATGTACCTCAAGAAAACCAGGGCAGACTGTGAACAATAAAAGAGTTTCTGCAGCATCTGTAGCTTTATTGAACACCAGCAAAAATGGCATATCAGGTAAGCTATCACTTTATTAAAGGTATATCCTGCTGGTTTTTTCCCCTTAAATTTCAATATATACTTCGTAAACTTACATGGTAAATTTTGAAGGTTTATTTTCATAATCCCACTGAGAACTTCAATTTTATCTTAATCTACCACATTTCCTTCCATCCTAAAAAATTAAACCTAATTATTGTGGTTGACATTTTAACCAAAATGTCCTGATACCTATAAAACTATTGAGTTATATCTGAGTGTATGGGCCTGCAGTGGTGACTGTGGAAGCAGAATGCATAGGGATTCCTATGGGCAAAGTGATTATAAGCTGCAACCATATCATCATTGCACAATGCTGTCTGCTTTGGTTAAAGAAAATGTTTATTTTTAAGTTTTAATTGTCCTTAAAAATAGCCATGTCTCCTCAAGAGTACCATTGAAAGCTTTTTTTGTGTGTGTAAAATGATATTTTAAGAGGCTTTCTATGAAGAGTTATTACTTTTATCTGGTAACTTTCTAATTGAGATTTGAAAGTTTTTTTTATTTTAAGAAACATTGTGCTCTGAATAATTTAATATTTTTATGACATGTGCATTGTAAATAATGTATAATATCTAGAGAATCAAAAGTGTAATTTTTATTTGTTTCCCTCTGTGGATCATCCTTATAACAAATGCATTGCAAATGATTCATGATATTCAGAAACAATATAGATGTGACTTGACTTATACTGGTGATATCCTTTTTTTCTCTTATAGGTATAGATTTCTAAATTAGTTCCTGGATGGTGTATTTTAGTATGCAGAATTATGTTAAACTTATTTAAAGTGATTTTTAAATCATTTTAGCTTGAAATTTGTTCTCAATAATGTTCAGTCTTTTAGTTAGTAAACTGCTTATTTTCAAACTGACCTAGAAATATTTATGTGTTTAAAAGTTGTAATGGGAAAATGAATTTGTTTGAATGATTAGAAGTTGGGATATCATTTCTCCAATTTAATTGGTTAATATTCTCCTGAATGAATTTAGGTAAGGAAAATGGCATTCTGTTATAAGTCTGTTATAAGTCTGTGATGTTTAATGAGCTTTTGAAGCTGAAATGGATAAATATCTAATATGATTTTGAGGTGACAAGGTTGTCAGAAATCTAAAGATAGTAGGAAGTTGATGAATATAGGTCAGATCTTTTTTTCAGCAACTCCAAAACATTGTTCAAATTATTGAACTGTACCGGAATTCCTATCCCCAGAATTGCTCAAAATAATTTTTGCCAAAAAGGGAGTTTAAAAAGCCCGTCAATATAGGGATTTATAATTAGATTTGACCATAGAATGTGTTTCTACTTTACCAATGTATATACCAAATAAAAAAAGATTTTAATTTATTTCTTCGCAGCTTGAACATACTTGCAGCTTTTCTTCTATACAGTCCAATCCACTTTTGATCTCTGACTTGACTCTTTTCCAAAATATATTCACTTGTTGCATATTATTGTATCATCAATACTCTAAATGTATTAATCCAGAAAAAACCTTAATGTAACTTAAATAATTTCATAATCAGCTTTAGAATTTTATGATATTACCATACAATTGCACAAAAAGGCATTTAAGTATTATCTACCCTAATAAAAGAGTAACATGCTAATTGACCGTACCTTCACGACACCCACCAGCCAATCAGGAGTGAGTCTGGGTTAATTTGCATACACAGATGCTGAGCAACTAGGGGCAGGGCGGGATGCTTGCATTGTCGCCACTCAGGCATTCCACACCACCCCAACTGCTCTGGTCCTCTGGGCAGATAGGAAGGCGGGAAGGCGACTCTGGGGCCAAAGCAGAAAGAGGCCCTCCCCTACAGGCCTAGTTGCCACTAAATGTCCTCCCCTGCTGGACTGGTGTCCCCCCATCTGCCCTTACCTGCAGGCCCAATCACCCCCAACTTCCCTCCCTTGCCAGCACTGGTCACCCCCATTTGTCCTCCCCAGCAGGCCTGGGCCCCCCCCCCCCCAACTCCCCTCCCCTGTAGGTTCAATCATCCCCAACTGCTCTCCTCTGCTGACCCAGTCACCCCTAACTGCCCTCCCCTGCCGGCCATCTTTTGGTGGCCATCTTGTATGTTGGAGTGATAGTCAATATGTATATTACCTCTTATTATATAGGACTAGAGGCCCAGTGCACAAAACACGTGCATGGGGGAGGGGGGGGGAGATGGTGTCCCTCAGCCCAGTCTGCACCTTCTCCAATCTGTTCACCTGCCTGCCTTCCTGATTTCCCCTAACCACTTCTGCCTGCCAGCCTGATCACCCCCTAACCACTCCCATGCCAAACTGATTGCTGTCTAACTGTTCCCGCACCAGCCTGTTTGCCCCTGACTGCTGGCCTGGTCACACCTGCAGGGTTGACTACCCCCAACTGCCCTCCCTTGCAGACCTGGTGCCTCCCAACTGCCCTCCCTTGCTTGCCTGATCACCCACAACTTCTCTCCCTTGCAAGCCTGGTCCCTCTCAATTACCCTCCCCTGATGACCATCTTGTGTCCACATTGGGGCAGGATCTTTGACCACATAGGGGCAGCCATCTTGTGTGTTGGAGTGATGGTCAATCTGCATATTACTCTTTTATTAGATAGGATAAAGGCCTGGTGCAAAAGTGGGGGCCAGCTGGTTTGCCCTAAAGGGTGTCCTGGATCAGAGTAGGGGTTCCCTTGGGGCAGGGGCGGCCTGGGCGAGGGGCCTGTGGTGGTTTGCAGGCCAGCCACGCAACCCAAGTGGAGGCCTTGGTATCTGGAATTTATTTACCTTCTCCAATTGAAACTTTGTAGCCTGGAGTGAAGCCAAGCCTCCTGCTTGCTCCGTGGCTGCCGCCATTTCTCTTTGGATTTATGTATCTTCTATCATTGAAACTTTGTACCCTTGAGTGGAGTACTAGGCTGGCAAGGGCAGGGGGAAAGCTTGTCTTCTTCCATTGCCAGAGAAACCCAAGCCTCCCTCCTGCTCTCTGTGGCTGCAGCTATCTTGGTTAGTGTTAATTTGCATACTCGCTCTGGTTGGCTGGTGGGCATGGTTGGTGGGCGTGGCTTGTGGGTGGAGTGATGGTCAGTTTGCATATTACTCTTTTATTGGATAAGATAATAAAATAAACACTCCTCAGGGAATTTAAAGTTAACTGCCACGCATCCAAAATGGAAACCATTCCCACGCGCCACATCATTTTGAATTTAATTTAAAAAATCAATTTGCAGTGAATATTATAAAAATAAATATATTACAATTTGGGTGTGCTTGAATATTTTCAACTGAAAGTTCTCATGAAAAATTATTTTTAAATTGTTCAGAGCTGCCACTTAGGGAAAAGTGTGTTTTTTTTTAACAGACGAGCGTGATGTTTGGGGAAGGTCTATTGCATCTACAGACATTTATGGTGTTCAGTGTTAAATCACAAGTGTTAAAAAGTTATAACATCATAGATAATAGGATTTTTATTTTTGCCTTTCTCTTACCATTGGAAAAAAAAAGATCTGTGAATATTTCCTTTCTTAGTTTTTTTAGTACTCTCAACATAATACTATTTAAGCTACAGTAGAATCTTTTTTAATTGAACTCTTAAAATATATATTTACTACTAAAGGATTTTATTTGAAGTTTTCCTTCTCTGCTAAGTGTGATCCTCTAGTCATAAAAGTCACAAGGCTTTTTGTTTATTTTTAACAAATTTCTTTCATTTCAAAATAGTAGGCATAGATATAAAAATGTATAATGAAACAGGTGTTTTAACAGCATTTTTACAAATAATCACAGAGCTATGGCAATTTTAAGTATCCATTTGTACCAGATATATATAAAGCCAGCAACCATAACGACCAGTTGCTATGATGCCCCCTGTGGCCAGTGAACCGGTCCAATCAGGGGATGGGGCCATTCAGCCAACCTCCCAGGTCCTCCCGCTGCTGACCTGCCCCTGATGGTACTCTCCCACCCCAATCAAGAGCTGGGCAGCTGGCCAAATGCTCCCTCTCTTCCCCCAACACCCTCGACAGCCCCACCCCCCATCAGTCAGCTTCACCACGAAAGGCCTGCAGCCCCTCCCCCTAGCTGGCCCGCCCATGATCACACCCCCTCCCCACCCCAATAAGGGGCAGGGCTGGCCAGCCAACCTTCTGAAGCCCCCACCACCCTGATCAGCCCACAACCCCTCCCCCTGGTCCGCCCATCCTTGATTGTCACCCCACCTCAATAGGGGAAGGAGCCAATTGGCCAACTTCCTGCAGCCCCTCTCTCCGGCTGGCCTTGTCCCTTATGGGCCCCTACCACCCTGATCGGCCCCCAGCTGGCCCTGCCACTGATCCCCCCGAAATAGGGGGCAGGGCCATTCAGCCAATCACATGCAGCCCCCCATCTGGCCCCACCCCAGATGGTCCCCCAATCTCAATCAGGGGCCGGGCCAACTGGCCAACTACCCATGGCCCCTCCCCCAGGCCACTGGCCCCTGATGGGCACCTGCTCACCCCATTCAGGGTGGAGACCACTGTCCAATCACCGACAGCCCTTTCCCCCAGCCATCCCAGACCTAATCTGGCCTCAATGGGGATGGGTCAACTCTCTGCCATCTCCTCCCGACAGGCCCAGCCCCAATCTGCCCTGATTGGTGCCAGGCTGGCCAGACCCCATCCATGCATGAATTCTTGCACTAGGCTTCAGTTTTCTCAGTTCTGGTTAGATAATTTTAAGCAGATTCACTTCAATAACTATTGATAGAAATTCCTTCATCTGCCTAAAGCAAAGGATGTGTTTTTAGAAAGTTGTATTTTGATATTTGATGGATACATACAAAAGGATTGAATCCTCCTAGATGTGGTTTCTTTTAGTCTATGTGCCTTTAACACTTTTGCCTTCTGCTTATTCTTAGTTACCTTGGTCTTGAGAGCAGGTGTGTTTAAGAGTACCAAGACTGACACCTGACCATGTTTGTTCCTGGCAGGGTATCAATGAGCTAGACAAATTATAAGTACTGAATCTTC